AGAACAAGACCCTGTGTCTAAAAAATAAAAAAAAAAAAGTTAAATTTTTAAAAATATGAAAAGATAGGTAGGCAACAGACTGGGAAAAAATATTGGCAAATAATATACCACATAAAGGAATAAAGAACTTGTAACTAGAATATATAAAGAACTCCTATGTCTAAATAATAAGAGAAACATCCCAACTGAAAACCGAGGCTGGTTCTACTCAGGAGGCTGAGGCAGGAGAATTGCTGGAGCCCGGGAGATGGGGTTGCAATGAACTGAGATCGTGCCACTGCACTCCAGCCTGGGTGACAAGAGTGAAACTGTCTCAAAGAAAAAAAGAAAAGAAACAGAAAACAGGCTGGTTGCAGTGGCTTATGCCTGTAATCTTAGCACTTCGGGAGGCTGAGAGAGGCAGATCATTTGACGTCAGGAGTTCAAGACCAACCTGGCCAACATGGTGAAACCCTGTCTCTACTAAAAATACAGAAATTAGGGCCTAGCACGGTGTCCCATGCCTGCAATCCTAGCACTTTGGGAGGCTGAGGTGGGCGGTTTACCTTAGGTCAGGAGTTCTAGACCAACCTGGGCAACATGGTAAAACCCTGTCTCTACTCAATGTACAAAAATTAGCCAGGCATAGTGGCACACGCCTGTAATCCCAGCTACTTAGGAGGCTGAGGCAGGAGAATCACTTGAACTTAGGAGGCGGAGGTTGCAGTGAGCTGAGATCATGCCACTGCATTCCAGCCTGGACAACAGAGTGAGACTCTGTCTCAAAAAATTAAAAATAAATAAATAAATAAATAAATAAAATAAAATAAAAATACAAAAGTTAGCAGGGTGTGGTGACGCAGACCTGTAGTCCCAGCTGCTCGGAAGGCTGAGGTGGGAGAATCGCTTGAACCCAGGAGGAGGTTGCAGTGATCTGAGATTGCATCACTGCACTCCAGCCTGGGCAACAGAGTGAGACTCCATCTCAAAAAATATATATAAAAAAGAGAAATGTTCTTTAAAAAGAGCCTTTTTAATGATTGTATAGTATTTAATCATTATGTTTGCTTCAACGAGAATACATTTGTATTTGCAGTGATCGTTGAGCCCATTCCAATTGGACAAGCTGCTAAGGACTATTTAAATTTACATATAATGCCAACTTTGCTTGAAGGACTCACAGAGCTTTGTAAGCAAAAACCAGCAGATCCTTTGGTAAGAAATATTTTTATTCACACTTAAAAATATTGTCACCAGGCACGGTGGCTCAC